GGAGTGGTGCGATCTCAGCTCACTGCAACCTCCGCCTCACTAGTTCAACCAATTCTCTGCCTCAGCCTCCTGAGTAGTTGGGACTACAGGCACCCGCCACCACGCCCGGCTAAGTTTTGTATTTTTAATAGAGACAGGGTTTCACCATCTTGAACTCCTGACCTTGTGATCTACCCATCTTGGCCTGCCAAAGAGATGGGATAACAGGCGTGCACCACGTACAGCCTGTTTTTATCTTTAACTTTGTGAGTCACATCATCTGTGTGTCTTCAAGTCCATGCAGATGATCTTCCACCTGCCTAGCTTCTTAGTTCCTAGACTTAGGCACTTGCAGTGACTTCCATGTGCACTGCACTTCAGCCACCCTCCCATGGCAATGTAACAGAGCATCTCATTCGTTAAAGTGCTCTACCTATGATATCAAATACAAATATTCTACTTTATTGCCTGCATTTTTCCAGCTCTTTAACTACAGTGCATTCACTATATTGTTCTAGGATTTTATTAAATCTTCTAAATCCCTAGGACCTTCCATTTGTCCTTTCACATTTCTAACTTAGGTCTGAGTACACATTCCCAGAGTTGATTATCTTAATTGCTCTTTCTGTCACAGCAGCTCAGCAACTAGTACTAGAATTTGCTTTCTTGGCTGTTTCTTGGCTCTTTTAATTCTGGACACTTAGGGCAATAAAGGACTAGGCGGGGGATTCCAGCTGGGTCTATACAGTGGTCTCATTGAGTCTTTAGTGGCCCAGTAATCCTTCAAACAATATTCCAAATATTCATTGCATTTCTCAACCCCCTAACTTAACTCATTCTTTTCATTGTGAACTGATGGTTTTCCTATCTTCTATTTTAAGGGAACTTGTAGTCTCCCTCAACCTCTTCCCCTCGTCCCTCCCTCCTCCAAGACATAACTACTGCCATGCATATCCCCCGCTCTTTTACAGAAGCAAGCTCTCCAAGGTGCCCTTAATTCCATTTCTTCCTCCTGTTTTTCAGTCTTCAGCCTTGTCATCTACATCTTTAATTTCTCCCTTTTTCTACTAGTATCTTTCTTCTAACTTACAAAACTCTCAAGTCACTACTACTCTTAAAATGAAGAAATCAAAAAAACCCTAGCTTCCTAACGATACCAGACACTCTTGAGCTGTTTACATTAACAACCTCCGCACTCACATTCCAGTGAAAACCACTGGCAAGTATCTGCATGCCTCACTCCACTCCTTACCGCTCCTCTAAGCTTTGTTACTCCCTTCTTTCCCTTAAGGAGACTGTCTACTACAGATAGTCTCTTGGATGGTGTTCAAAAGCATCAAATAACAGAACACAATGCTTTAAAATAAAACCGTGGGATTCAGAACTTTGACAGATGGTTCTTCTTGCTCTTCCTTTCTACCTTTGTTTATTGACTTGCTTTACCTGTGTGAGTATCTTTCTCTCCCAAAAGCAGCTCCTCAAATGAGCAAAGAAATCGGAGAAAATTTGGACTGGGGAGGTAGAAAAGATAATATAATCTGGAATAACGTTTTATTAGGGACTGAAGAAAATTATCTTAAATAAAACACACAATGGCCAGGTGTGGTAGCTTATGCCTGTAATATCAGCACTTTGTGAGGCCAAGGCAAGATGATCGCTTGAGCTCAGGAGTCTGAGACCAGACCAGCCTGGGCAACATAGTAAGACCCCATCACCATATTTTTATTTTTTTTGAGACAGAGACTCGCTCTGTCTCCCAGGCTGGCGTGTAGTGGCACGATCTCGAATCACTGCAACCTCCACCTCCTGAGTTCCAGCGGTTCTTCCATTTGTATAAAAAACAAAACTCAACTCCCCCTTGCCCAACAAAAAAGTCTACATTGGAAAAAAAACTGTACAAAAATGGTGGTTATAATTATCTCTTTAAAATACACTTTCATAGAAGGTCAAAATCCTTTTTATTTTTAACTGCAGGTATAAATCTGAGGAAAATTTAATAAGATGTAATTGATGTAATTTTTGATTTAAAATTTAGTATTTTAATTATAGATGTATCATTGTTCAACTTAACCTCCGTAAAGCAGTAAGCCAACACTCTAAATTTTCTTGATCACATATCTTCCTTCTCTCTTCCTTGCTCTCTCTATATATACAAAGTCTCCACTGTGCTATTATAAAACATACACAAAAGCATATAAAAAAGAATGAGATCAATAAATACAAATAGAAATTCCAATGTTTTGTTCAAAGAATTGTCTTGTATTATATAAACTACTGCTTTGGAGAACATTATTACGGACAATCAAGGAGAAAGTCAAATGGAATATACTGAATGGTTTGACATAATGAGCTAACTTTATAAACTGATTTTTAAGAAATTCAACTGTTTAAAATACTAAGTTTTTAAATAAAATTTTACCTGTGCTATTTATTAGCTCTGTCCTAAAGAGCACACACATTTGATGGTAATGAAAAAAGGGAAAAATCATTCTTTCCTGGTTAATATATAAAATGAAGTGTGGGTTATTATTATACTTCGTGAAGTAGCTATCTTGTGAACACTGGCTCTATTCTACTATACTTAACAAGGAGGTAAAATGAATTCTCTCAAAGACTAGGATTTAACTTCAATTAGAATACTACATAGCACCACAAGTCTAAATAATACTATTACAAGCCAAGAAAGAAGAAATTCAAAATTAGACAAAATACACAGAACTAATTGCAAAATGTGACTATAACATACATTTATACATGTTTTTGAATGTATATTTCTGAGTTCATAAACTTTAGTTTGGAATTCATTCCAAACAATTGTATAAATAAGAAAGAAAAAAATGTAACCAGTCTCATTTTCTACCTCTTGGAAAGGAATTCAGTAGTTTTAATTAAGTAGTAATTAATTAAATTTACTACTTCCTGCCTATCTGTGATGGATCATAATCTGCACTAAGGGCCTTAACCTTGCCAAACTTCACTTTCATTACACAGAAGCCCTTAAGAATTCAAAAAATTGTAAAGTAAAAGTTACTTAGTTGTGGGTTACCTCAGAACTGAAAAGCCTTAATTAAAGAAAGCCCTGTAAAAAAAAAAACAGCGTGTATCTATAATGCTTTTTAAAACCACCTTTTACTTACGTCAACAGGGACCAGAAGACTCTTGCCAAGATGTTGATTAAAAGAGAGGCACCAGGCTTCAGTGTAACCATTCATGTTAGGGACATACTTCTTTATTGTCTCATCATTCAGCCTCAGCCACACACCATCGTCATTATGGATCTATAGAAAAAAAGCAACAGAAACAAGCCAGGCCTTCCTGTAAGTCCTATGAGGCTAGCAACGTCTAAAAGTCTGCAAAGCAGGAAAATAATGGTGGATGTGGAGATTAAGCATCTAGTTTTTGTAGAAAGTAAGTCTGAGAGACCCTCCAGGGAAAAAAAAGCAGCAAAGAGTGCCAACACAATATGATAATTCATGTGACAAGATTATAAAAACAATTTCACTTAGGAATAAACACACAAGGAAACCACACTTTAAGATACATAGTTTAGACAGTAAAATCAGATGTTACCTAAAAGAATACGAATCTTCCTTCCCTTATATTTATATTCTAAGAATCAGAAGTTACTTGGTTGTATTACCAGAAAAATATACTGTCTAAAGTTAAAGCAGTAAGAAACACATTTCAAAACAAACAACATTTTAAAATGTCATGAAAAACTATACCTATTTTCAGTGAATACATGTATAGATTTCTGAATACTATGTTGAACATTGTTCTTTTCATGTTCAAAATATAATTTTAGTTATTTTTTAACGATAAAATAAATGAATTGTTGAAACTCAATGAACACATTCTATAAAGTAGTTTTAAAATATTTCCCAAACTGCTTAAAATACATTCTGACAAAAAACTGAGTAACCTTATTATTAAGAAAACAATGCAAAAACTTGCTGTCCAAAATTTACTACAAAGAGCTCCTTTATCAATTACCTCATCAATAAAAGTGATAGTTCCATTGACTTTCACTATGCCTATCTGCTCACTCTGAAGGGAAGGGTGGCTACGAATGCGAAGCCCTGCGCTGTCCTTGGCCACAAATTTTCGAACCTGAGAAAGGCAAAGATAAACAGTGAGGTAGGAAGAACATGGAATAGAGATCTTATAAGTAGCAAGAAGTAAAATTAAGCAGGTTTGAAAGTATCATAATTCTTAACAAGGTTCCAGAATTATTTGTAGTGAGGCTCCCTCTGCAAATAACAGTGCTTTATAACACTAACCACAGAACTTTTAAGCACTGAAATGTATATTACTGAAAATAAAACTTAGACAATTATACATACTTTAATTCATTTCTAAATATTGAAGATATGTGTTAAGAAGGATAAAAACCATTTGTTTCTGTTAGAAAAACAAATTCAATTACCAATATTTCATTTTTTAACATGCAGTTTACCAAAATGCCTGTACTTATTCTTTAGATTTCAGAAGTTAACTTTTCTTTTGACAGTAGAGGACATTTTCGCCTTGCAAACTTTACACTTTATTTCAGTAGACTTTTTGTTCATTGTAAATGTTATATAGCAGGAAGAATACAATATGTATCAATTACGATAGCATTACACAAAGAAATAAAGAAGTACATATGTTATAACTTAGAAATATTACCATAAACTACTCTCTAAATTTATTTAGGGATAATTAGAATTTAAGTCCTGAAATCAAGTAAAACGTTCGATGTTTACTGGCCATTTTGAAGCATCAGTGACAAACATGTAAAAATTGAATGATTCTGGCTCTCAGCTCATTCTGCCCTAACCTTATTAGGCTGAGGTTCAGTCTTTGGTTTGACCAGCTGAGTTCCTGGTGGTATCATCCCTTTTGGTGGGTCTTTTACTTTTACTTCCAGACCAGCATCTGTCAAAAAAATAAGGGAACTGTAACATATGAGAAAAAAACAGAAGGAAGATCCTTAAACCTAATCTTACAAACATCCACAGGCTATTTTTAAAAATTAACACAAATATCTGATTTCTGTCCTTTTAAGGTAATGGATATTTAGTAAGCTAAACAAGAGAAATATTTTAAAAATGGCCATGAGATTCTAAAGGAATATCTCAGGAGGTTAAGGAAAAGAAGGGGCTCCCTATTTTTAACTAGAACATATGAAATGATACAGAAAAAATGGAAAATAATAAAAAAAAGACCCTTGAGAATTAAATCTTATCAGACAATATGAAATCAGAATACCACTCATCATCTCTACCAGTCATCTCTATGACAATGTAGCATGGTTATGAGAAGCTGAGGTTCTCATGTTAGACTGCTTTGGTTACTCCGATATCTTGCACTAACTGTTTGACTCTCTGTGCCTCAATTTCTTCATCTATAAACTGGGAAAAATAATAGTATCTAACTCACCGAGCTGTTGTAGGAAATAAATGACTTAAAATGTACAAGGGGCCATGCAGAGTGGTTCACACTTGTAATCCTTTTGGGAGGCTGGGGCGGACGGATCACCTGAGGTTGGGAGTTCAAGACCAGCCTGGCCACCATAGCGAAACCCCATCTCTACTAAAAATACAAAAATCAGCTGGGCATGGTGGCGCACACCTGTAATTCCAGGTCAGGAAGCTGAAGCATGAGAATTGCTTGAACCTGTGAGGTGGAGGATGCAGTGAGCAGGGATTGTGCCACTGCATTCCAGTCTGTGCAACAGAGTGAGACTCTGTCTCAAAAAAAAAAAAAAAGTACATGTAGAACAAATTTAGATATATATATTAAATGCACAATAAATGTTAGCTATTATTGAATTATTGAATTATTCTAATGAATAATGAATTATTATCTCTGCTTGTCCATGGTCAAGCAAGGTTGCAGCCCACTGACGGCATGGGAGAAAACTTACGAAGAAGAGCAGTGAAGTTGAGTATGGAAGAAAATGGATGATTCTAAGTAAGCAAGTCTTTTTCTTCAGCTTCATTCCAAAAAACAAATACAAGTGGATTTTTCTTATCTAATTTGTATCAGTTTCCTTCATCCCACAATTAGATAAGATGATGAAAAAAACTCTATCTACTGAAATTTTACCAGAATTTTTAGAGAGAAGAAAATCTTCACAATGTCGTTCTTGGCTATTTCTACTTTTGAATTCCTACTGTAATTTGTATCTCTTGTATGTCACTACTTATATTCTACTTCACAGGATTTTGGTTTACCTGTTTTACTTTCACAGTCCTCAGTAAAGTGTTAACACTTGACAGGAATTGTCTTACTCAGGACAATGTATGCTTAGAACCAAAAAACAGTTGCTGAACTAAAGGCTTTATGGATATGTTGAAATAAAGAAGAGTGCAGCAAAGGCTGCTGGAGAAGGTCTCTAGAACGGTCAGGTGAACTGGACATATCTGAGTCTATATAGTTATATTAATGTATGAGAACATACAATTACATCAATGTAAAGTACCTCTTTACCTCCACTGACAAAGCAAACTACTTAAAGCAGAGTTTCCCAAATATTTTGGTGAAATATTAATTGGTATTATTACTATCTCCACCCTGTTTCTCTCTTTCCCACTAGCAAAGGGTTCCATGATAAGGATTAAACATAGACAAATTTCTTGATTTCAGAACTTCTCAGAATCTCTAATATGTTCATGTAGATTGTGTGAATGTCTCAAGTGAGACTACCATATACAAGTTGAGCATCTCTAATATGAAAACCCCAAATCCAAAAAGCTCTAAAATCTAAAACTTTTTGAATGCTGACATGATGCTCAAAAAAAGTGCTCATTGAAGCATTTTGAATTTTGAAATTTTGAATTAGGGATGTTCAACTGGTAGCTATAATACAGCTATTCCAAAATCAGAAAAAGTCCAAAATCTAGAATACTTCTGGTTGCAAGCATTTCAGATAAAAGATACTCATCCCGTACCAGGTTTTTGAAATCTATCTGATCACAGAAACTCCTTTTCTCGAGGAGCATCAGGAAAAATAACGTTACAAGAAATTCACACTGATAAGTACTATAGTTTTCTCCTTATTATCCTATTATACACACAGTTTAAAAGTAAAGTAAAGAAAAAATTAATGCTTGAAAGACAAGCAGTATGTTTTTCAAAGTTAATGGTTGTGATGATTAGTTCTAGGTGTCCACCTGACTGAATTAAAGAATACCTAGAAACCTGGTAAGGCATAACTTTTGGGTCTGTGAAGGTGTTTCCAGAGAAGACTGGCATGTGAATGTGAGTGGAGTAGGTGGGGAAGATCTGCTCTCAATGTGGGCAGGCACTGTTCAATCAGCTGGGGACACAGAGCAAACAAAAACAGAGGAGAGGTGAATGCATATCTATTTTCTGGAGCTTGGATAAACACTTCCTCTACTGTCCCTCGACATTTGAACTCCAGGGTCCCCAAAATTTAGACTCCAGGACTTATATCTGTGCCCCCCCCTGGATTCTCAGGCCTTTGGCTTCAGACTGAGAGTTGCATCATCTGCTTCTCTGGTTCTGAGGCCACCTGCATCCCAGGGTCTCCAGCCTACAGGTGTGGCCTATCATGGGACTTTTCAGACTCCATAACTCTGCAAGCCTATTTTCCCTAATAAATCCCCTCTCATGTATCTAATATAGTCATGCATTGCTTAAGGATGGGGGAAATGTTCTGAGAAATGCATCACCAGGCAATTTCATCATTGTGCAAACATCAGAGTGGACTTATGCAAACCTAGATGGTACAGATTACCTGGGTTATATGGTACAGCCTATTGGTCTTAGGCTACAATCCTATACAGCATGTTACTCTACTGGATACTGTAGGTAACTGTAACACAATGGTAAGGATTTGCATATCTAAACATATCTAAGCATAGAAAAGGTACAGTAAAAATCTTACAGGACCACCACTATATATGTTGTTCGTCACTGACCAAAATGTTATGAGGCACATGACTGTATAGATATCCTATAACACATTGATAGATTGAAAACTGCATTCATTCATCCATATTTCCTGTCATTACGTGCCAGGCACTGAGCTACACTGGAAGATCCAAGCATGAATGCTTTCTGCTCACAGTCAGGAGAAGCACAGACACACCCACAAGGGAGAGACAGGGTAACACAGCACCGTGGAAGAGAGCACACCTGACTATTCACATCAGGGAATGCAGGGAAGGAGTCATGAGGGCTACAATGCTTGGGTGGACACCAGAAATTATTACAAAATGTTAACGCGCTAATTAAATACTCATTATGAATGAGAAAACAAGGCCTCAAATAACTTATGAAACCTATCCATATGTATGAAGCGAGTTAAAGGGCAAAACTAGAAGATAAAAATAATTTTGATTCTAGTTATTCGAAGTAAGTAGTAGCTCACAGCTTAAAAAAAAATTACCAATTTCAATGCCATCAATGGTAACATGAATAGTGTAGAGTCCAATAGCCCCTGGAGTCCAATTTGCACAATAAGTCCCATCATTATTGACACGGATCAGCATATTCTCACTGGGTCTGGAAAGAAATAAGATGGATGTTGGAAATTTTACTTTTGGTTAAGCAGCCAACATCATTACAATAGTTCAGCAAACATTTAATTTGTTTGCATACCTCCTCACAATCCTACCACCCTGCCATAGTATGCTTGCCTACTCTCCAAAATGCTTGAATTTCACTTCTTTCTTACCTCAAACCTGCATCACCTCTCTTCCTCACTCTCAGGTGATCATGACCTCACCTCTTTCTTGTGAGACAATAAGCAATCAGATACAACCTCAAAGTTGCAATGTGATTAATAAACCTACTTTCCCCTGCCTTCTCTCATGGTAGAATGGAGGAAGTGTCCTGGATTTGATCCAAAGCTAGCCCCTGCCCTTGTCCTGTGAATCTTATTCCCTCAACATTTTTATGCTGCATTCACCTTGTTCTCTCTCATGCATCATCAATATTCTCAATTTACTGAACCATTTCCATTAGCACACAAACTTTAGAACCTTCGCTAACACCTCCCTTTGATATTACAGCCTCCTCTAGTAAGGTCTTACATCTCTTCTCCTATTTATATCAAACTCCATTTTCTCACTTTTACTTCCCTCCCACAATTTATCCTTACTAGGCTTTTGTTTCCAACATTTCCTTACACCTGCTGATGTCAAAGTCACCAATGACCACCATGTCCCCAAGTTCAATGGTCACTTCATCCTCAGTAATCTCTCAGTAGCATTTGATAGCTGACAACTCTTCCTATCTTGAAATACTTCCTTCCTTTTGCTTCAGCGACATTTATTTTCCTGGCTTTTTTCTTATCTCACTGGTCATTCTTTGTCAGTGTTTCGTTGCTTTCCCTTTTCTGACTACCGTTTAATTTAAGGAATGCCCCAGGATTTGGGTCTGGGTAATCTTTTTTCTACCTATGCCATCTATCTAGGTGACATCCATTCCTCAGTTTTAAATAAATGCCATCTCTATGTAGATGATTCCCAAATGTATTTTCCCCATGAGTTTCAAACTGGCATTTCCAGCCTATACATAATTCTGCTATCCCAGATTCACTTCAGGGACTTTTCTAAATTCTATGGAGGTGATCTCTCCAAACTATAATGCATCTAATTATTTTTTCCAAGCGTCTATTTTAAGAAGTACTGTTACTAACAAATAAAATATTAACTCAAAAAAATGTGCTTAAATCTGAAGTTAACAGAATTACTTATGGGCTGAAAAATTAAGACCGTACAATCAAATACAAGTATACCACATGCTGAAATCTCTCCACAATTCATTGGAAGGACAAAAGGATTAATTTTTAAATAGCAAACAAATGAAAAACAAACTAATCAATCCTAAACAAGTCAATTTAAACATTTTTAGATACTAGATACCTACTTTACATACCTACTTTCACTAGTAGGTAGTATTATGTAACATGCTGGCAGTATTACAGTTGAATGTAAACACATGCTTTCTGCAAATCTATACATTATTATGTGACAAATCTCTATCAGCAATGGTAACCTAGAAAAATGCTATAAAGTAATTATTTATAGAAAATAAAGTTGAAATGCAGGACGATATTAGTTGCAAGTGACAACACATGTTTTGGTTATACTTTGAGAAAGCGATTCTTACCTCTTAGGAGTTGGTGATGCAAAACGTAGTTCTTCAAATGAATAATTTTCATAAACCTTTAAAAAAGAGACCAGTAACAACTGTAAAATCATTTAGAAACATTCTCGATTAATAGAGTAATACATTATTCAATAAATGGTTGTGAGACAACTGGTTATCCATATAGGATAAAAAGAAAAAACTCAATTACCTACATTAGACTATTTATTAAATATAAATTCTATGTGGTTTGAAGATCCAAAAGTAAACACCAAAACTTAAAAAAAAAGCAAAAGAAAAAAACAGATAACATCTTCTGAGTACATTAAAATTTTAAAGCTTTCCAAAACAAAGATAGTATAAAGATAGGAAAAGCTTCCACCTCGGAGAAGGAGATTTTTAACTTGTATAACCCATAGGTGATATGCATCCATAATATATAAAGAACAAATCCATACAAAAGAGATAAACAACAACAACAAAAGAGTCAAGACAATTCTCTGAAGAAGAAATCTGAAAGGTCAATAAAGACCAGAAAAGTTATTTAACTAAACTTGAAAGAAAATACGAAAGAAAACAAAACTAAAATAAATCATATCATGGTCATCAAATTGTGTTGGTAAGAACCAAGCGCTGAGGAGAACATGCAGCACCTGCTACTTTCATACATTGCTCGTGGGAATGTGAGTTTTGACAATACTTAACGTAGTTGAAGGTGTGCAAGCCCTACAACTTAACAATTCCACTTCTAAGTATGCATCTTACACAAACTCCTGCTCCTGTACAAAAGGAGACAAATACAGAATGTTTATTTCTGTACAGTTTATAATAAGTGTCCATCAATGGGGGAATGGACAGATTATGGAATAGTAACCCAAAGGAATACTTTAAAGCAGTTAAAATGAATGACCTATAGCTACATGGCTGAACCTCAAAAATAACATTAAGCAAAAATCTGGCAAAATGATACATACAATATGATACTATTTTATAAACTTCTGGAAAACATATTGAACAATCCAAAATATACTGCTTATGAATAAATTTGTATTCAACAAGAGCCTAAAAATATACATAGGAATGAGAATTACTACACTCAGGACAACAGTTACCTCTAAGGAAGGGGTGGTAATGGGTCTGAGGAAGGGTTTATGCAGGCTTCAATTGTACGTGTAGCAATCTGTTTCTTAATAAAAAATAACAAAATGACCTGAAACAATTATGGTAAAATGTAAAGACAAAAATGGGCTGTAGGTACATGAAACTTGGCACATTATTCCCAATACTTCTGTATGCCTGCAACATTAGCAAAGAAATCATTATCTTTCAAGTTCAGGTCAAGATGTCCAATTGCTCATCCACTTCTAACTCCTCCTGTACTTACAGTAAAAGGAAGCAAACTCAAAGCCCCTTTCCTTCTCTCTACCCTTTTTGTTTTCATAAAAATGAATTAGGAATGATCTAGCTGACTTTACCTACTCAAAAGTTAGACGTGAGAAAGACGCAAATTAAGGCTGAGTCTTTGGCCATACAAAGGTGAGAAAAGAAGGAAATCCAGGTTTCTAGACTTTGAGTACAATGTATTTTCTACTTCATCACTTTCCCTCAAATACATATTATTAACACACTTAGTAATGAAAGAAGAGACCGTATCTCATTTTTCCATCCTCTACAATACTTGGCTCACTACTGGGTGAGTACATAGTATCTGTGAATGGTTGATAAGGAAAATTTCCTCCCGGAACCTGAATTAACATTTCACAGATACTGTTTGGGAATGGTATTCTATACCTGCTCTAAACCTAGGCTACTCAGAACATGTTTGAAATATTGCATTCTGTTGTGGTAACAAAATTTGCAAAAGAAATTATACAAATTGAAGCATGTTCATAGGAAACTAAAAGACTAGGGAGGTAAGGAGACTAGAAACTAAATTCCTTAAATAAGTGTTGGAATAGAGAAGAATTTGTAGCCTTGACTTCTTTAACAGCCAGTGGACAATTCATCTAGAACTCCAGTTTCTCATTCCCTGATTTCTTTAACCTCAATAACTTCAACTTTTTTCCAGCCACTCACACCAAAAGTCACAGACCTGTGACATTACTCAGAATTGTTCTGTCTCTGAAATCAAAATAAAGTGGGGCTGTTCAGTTTTTTTTTTAACCTCAATAACTATTCCTATATCTACTCTGATGTCTAGTCCCTCTACCTTCCTTGACTCTCTGAAATTTCTTCCCTTCCAAACTAAGTTAGGTTCCACTGTCCTCTCTTTAGCTACCATATACTCAACTTCTTGTTCCACTGTTCTTTTGCTGAACTATCTAGTAAAATTTTAATGCTAGATCAATCCAAATGATTATTTTACCCATGCTCATATGACTCACATTGTTATTTACAAATAATCTTCAATTTCAACTTATTATTCAAAGGCATCTAATACATCTTTTCTGATCGGTGCTTTCTTTCAATCTCAAGGAATAACAATTTCATTTTTTCCCCTTTGTTTCAAAACCTTGACCCTAAGATTCATCACTTCCATTTCCAACTCCAAACACAAAATCACGGTTTTAAATAATTCCTTTGGCTGCAAAACCTAAAAATTTACTAGCATCTGTATATTAAGCCTTCTTTTCCTTCTCCTGGCAGAATGAAAACAAGCACTACTCCTTCTATTTAAGGCCACTGCTGCCACTTGAGCTCTAGATTCTATTTTTATATTCAGAGTGTCTTTACTGTTTTCTTTCTCTGAATTATCTCCTAATCAGCACTCAAATATGTAAGTCTATCTCTATTAATAAGACCCCATACTCCAAAGCCTTCACTCAATTCCATTTCCTCTGGTTCTTTCTACAGTCAAACATCTTGAGAGGCTTATCTACACTCACTTCAGCCATTCCCTTAATTATGTGTTGCTTCTTTGGCTAGTATTCTTACCAGTGTGAATTGTTTTTCCTTTTCCTTTCTTTTTGTCTTATCTTGTAAATCAATATTTCTCAAAGTATAGGTTTTGAATTTGAATCACTCTGCATATTTGTTTCAGGCAAATTCCTGACTCTCTCTCCAAACCCACTGAATCTAAATCTCTGGGTGTTTGGAAATCTTTTTTTAAAGCAAGTGCTCCAGATGCTTCTGATGTAGAGAAGAGTCTGAGACTCAGTGATACTGGTGTTTCTTAGGATCCTATCCTGGAACTTCTGTCTTCATTCACCATAGAAGGTATCATCTATTCCCCATGACTTCATAAGCAACGTAAGTGCTAATGATTCTTGAATCCTTTTCTTGAGGTCAGACTGTGATCACTCAGGTCTGTACATCCAACTTTGTTTTATACATCTTCACATAGGTATTTCAGAAGTACCTAAAACTCATCTCATCCAAAACTGAATCTGTTATCTTTCTTAACCAAAACCTGCCCTTCTTCCATTATCAATTGGACACAAGCTCAAAATGTGAATTTCATCTTTTATTTCCTACCTTTCTTCTTTACTCCACCTCCACTAGCTACCAGGTTCTACCGATTCTATTGAATCTATCCTGATTGACAACTCAGTAGTCCAACTAATCAGCATATCTAACCAAATTAAGTCAACAGTCCCCTAAAGAGACTAAAACCAAGCCATGTGTCTTGATCATTTGCCCAATTACACCGTCCATATTCCACTATAATCTTTATGAAACTCAAATCTAATGAAGCCATTCTTCTACCCAAAAGCCTTCAATGGCTCATGACTGCTCTCTGAAAATGCCAAAATTATAAATTTCAGCTTCGAATAATGACGACCTTGATAATTCAGACTAATGCTGCCTCTGAAGATAACTAGAACATCCAAAATGTATATTTTTAATGTCTAAAGTTATTGGAGAGCTAAAAATCCCAAAGAGTTCTAGGAGATACATCTGGCATTTGAGAGAATCCAAAACTGAAGGGGGGCATAGGTAAATAGCGAAACCCTCAAGAGATACATTCTAGCACGAATAGTAAACTGCAAATAGACAAGTACTTAGAAATTTTACGTTATTTTTATATTTTGTAGAGATGCGGTCTCCCTATGTTACTGAGGATGGTCTTGAACTCTCTTGGCCTCAAGTGTTGCTCCCTCCTTGGCCTCCCAAAGCACTGGGATTATAGGTGTGGGCCACTGTTCCTGGTCAAAAGTAGTCAAATACTTTCACAGGAACTGAAACTCAGCCTAATACACCTGTATCTCTGATTGGATTAACTTGATCTGTAATTGATGATCCCCTTTGGACATCTGTCAAAAACCAATGAAAACCCTCTCTGAAGATAGGATAACATTATCTTAAAAGTGTTGCTGCAAATTTAATATCCATCAAATGCTCTTTGGACTTATAATTTCGTGTCTGCATCTGAAACACTGAAATGTTGGTTAAATAAACGAATGTTGAAAACTAAAATTTTTCTGATAAGTAAAATAAATTACCTTCATCATTGTTATGGCAATATATCGAGCTTCCTTCACTATCATTGGTTCATATGAAACATCTAGCTTTGGTGATGCCAGTCCTCCAAAAGTCATGTCAGTATTAGAAGATGCAGTTGTTACTGCAGGACTGCCAGGAATCCTTTGAGGTTTCTTTGCTTGATCTTGTTGTAAAGATGTTTTTTTCTGAGAAACAGGGACAGCTTTCACTTCCACCTAAACATGGTATTACAGAAACCAAATACTATTATTATTTAATTGTCACTGACATCAAAATAAGCAACTTACAATTATAAACTCACAATTATGCATACTTTATATTAGCATTGGTCTATCTCCGGCATTCCTTTCAAAGGCTTATTCAACAGAGTTCAAATGACCTCAAGATGGGTTGACAATACGAATCATGAACACAGTGTAAAACAAGGCCTCATCATTTTGGAATACATAATCAGAGATATCAAAACATAAAAACAAATGCACCACTAATAAAGTACAGGAAAAGGCAGTGGAATGAATCTACATTAAGTTATTGCAGGGACTAACAAATTATTTTATCAGGTAATGCAAGTGTAAATGCTTTCCCACAATCTCAGGACATTTTAAAGCACTAATGTCAGTTTCAGCTGCACTGTTCTAAAGAAGAAAATGTTCTCTATTGATAGAAGTTTCAAAAATTAACACTTAATGAAACAAATCTTATACTTAAAGCCCAAAGATGTTTCTTCACTCTAGTGAAGAAAGAATATTATTAGACAGCTCTATCACTAACATAAACATTTAAACAATCTATTAATAATTAAACTTTGCAACTCAATTTCTTCAACAATAAAACGAGACTATCTTTCATCCACTAACTCTACAGTATAGATGCAAAAAACAGATTTGTTAAGGGATGTTAATATATTAAAAATACAAATTGTCTTATAAAAATACCTTTTAGATATATTTTCCAGGAATTATAACTTTGCAACTCAATTTCTTCAACAATAAAACGGGACTATCTTTCATCTACTAACTCTACTATATAGATACAAAGCACAGATTTGTTGAGGGATGTTAATATATTGAAAATACAAATTGTCTTATAAAAAAACTTTTCAGAAATATTTTCCAGGAATTATAAGAAAACGTTCTGTTTTTATTTGTTTATGCATTGGCAGAAAAACACTTGACCCCTAGGCAACCACAAATGTACACACAATTTGAATATCACTTTAGGTCTTCAGCAGGTATCACCATTCTGAGCTTTACTCAAAGTTTCTGCTGTTCCTTACAGACAACATTTTTGTGGTTGGCAAGAATAGGTAATTCAACAGGATTGTCACAGAAATAGAAAAAGTAGCAGAGATAAAAGTGATAGCATTTTTAAGTAATTGAGGACTACCTCAGAACTACAGACTGTCTTTAATGTTTATTGTTCTTAATAATACCATTCTATGGAATCAGTAGTTTGAGACCTTCACTATTTACACAACGTTAGGCACAGGTGACAAATAGGTTCCATTAAGTGACCACTATCTTCAGGTGAGGTTACAAGAGATCAGTATTTAGACTGACACAATCCCCTGGAAATATTAAAAACCCATTCTTATATTTAAAAAACAGCAGTTTACAGGTATATGGTTAAAATTTCAACTCAAACACATGTGCCAGCATGAAAAGCTTTAAACTTTAAATATAATTAAAAAATTTGAAGATGATACAGACAGGAGTCAGAGATATACCGGAAAGGAGAAGGTGGTTCCCTGGCAAAGGCCCCACCCTCAAGCCTGGAAACCACGGCCCTAACTGAGACCAGTTTATCCCTGTATTCCGCCTAAATGTTGCCTTTTTGGCCAGCTCTGCCCCGCTACCCTATGCTCTTATAAATCCCAGACTTCAGCTAGCAGAGAGACAAGTGGTGAATATCAAGTGGAGAAGCAGCAACTGACAGACGCGCGGCTTAACCTCA